AAAACAAAATCCCAACCACTAACTAACACTCATGAAACCTCTTTAGTTCATCAGAATATCTTCAGTTTATAAATGTATGTCTATGAAATTCTAAATTTTATTTTAATAATAATAATAATAAATTACATTTATATAGCGCTTTTCTAAATACTCAAAGACGCTTTGACAGGAAACAACAAAAAACAAAGCAAAAACTAAGAGAACAATACAACATAGAAGTCGTGTAAAGGGAACAGGAAGAGAGTCAGGGGTTGTAGGCGGTGATGAAAAGGTGAGTTTTTAGGGATTTTTATTTATTAATATATTTTAATATAAAATTTCACTTACAACTTTAAGGGTACACATTCTTTTGTATTGAAAAACTTTACATTTTGGCTTTGATTTGTGTTTTGTGTTGGAAAAAAAGGCATTGTCAAGCCCCATGCTAAGTGATAAAGACCTACAAATACTTTTCAATAAACAAAAAAACTACCAACTGAATACCAAAACATTAACAATTCTCCATTACCTAAAGCTACATGGTCCAGTTAAACGCTTAATATTTTTTGCACATTGCACACTTTGATTTCATTCATTGTTTTATTGCTTGAGACTGTTTCTTTTGTGTTTTTGGATATGTTTCATGTGTGTGTCTGTTCTTTTATTTATTCACCTCAGCCTTTTTGACATATAGGTCTACGTTTCTCCTTGGGGATCAATAAAAGTGTATCATCTCATTTTCATCTCACCTCCTATCATCACTTTAGCTATGCCCTGCTGCAGGAGAACATTAAAACCATTAATGTTAGATGTAGATGAGTTAGTCTACATGTATCCAATATCTACATCCAATCATCATCCAGCATAAGTAGAGTGCACACAGATCGACAGACAGGCAGATAGATGAAGGGAGAATTTATATTCATTCTGCTTCTATCCCCTCCTCCTCCTCCTCCTCCTCCCAAACGGTTTGATACACAGCATGCCGTAAAAACTGAGCAACAGCGCCCCTCTATGGTCGGTACCCGTAACTAAAAAAAAAAAAAAAAGATGCAAAGGCAGCATGGACACAAAGAAGAAGGCTTCCCGGGCACCGTAGTTTCGCGGAAGTTCTGAAAGCACTGTTTGGGGGAAACAACTGCTGAGAGATGACAAACAATTACACAAATATAGCATGAGTGTTTATTTGCTGGTTTCCCTTTTGAGTCAAGGATCGTCAATATGGAGGATGAATGGGAAGAGGAGGTATAAAACATGTTTTACTACCACTCGCATGTTTTTAGCTTCGGGGACACATTGAATAACTAAAATACGATTTGTTTAACTTCAGTCTTTGTTATTGTTTTAAACGTAACAGTGCAAAAACGCTTGAGTTTGGTTTATTTAAGGTTCTTTTATATTCTGTTTACTGACCTTGTTTTGAAAGCACCTGTATCTCTGCACAGTGCACACAGGTCTGCACCTTCATAAACACATGCTGGTTTTGTGTTGTGTTCAGGAGCAGCTCGTCGTGGTGGAACTCTCTGGTATAATCGACAATGACTTTTTGACTAAGACTCGTGGCACTTGTAAGATACTGGTGAGTTTTTAGTTGTAGATGCTGTCTGGTTAAAAAAAAAAAAAGAAGAAGTGGAAAAAGCCTGACTCACTGCAGCCTTCACCTTTTTATTTATTTTTTCCATCTTGAGTGTATAATCTCTTCTGTCTGTGTGTTTAAGGATATAGACAGTGAGAAGCCCATGATCCAGGTTGGACAATATGTGTTTGCAGGGGAGTATGAAGGTAATGACAAAAAGGGGAAAGCTTAAAGCCCAACCAAACAAACCAAGCACTTTCCTCCTTTCCCCTCTTCAGAATTCAAGATTTGTTGTTCTAACCAACAAATGGTGCAAACAGCGTTCTCAAAAGTCTGATAATCACAGTGTCAACTACGACGGAGGATTCGGGCCATGTTAAAAAAAAAAGAGAGATTAAACTCGTAAATTCACGAGAATAAAGTTGTGAATTAACAAATTGGAGACCAGCCTGCGCACATGATGAAAGTAGAACTCTTAATACTGCAGACACAACTTCCTCCATGTCAGTGTGGTTCTTTCTTCAGTTTCTTGCAGTATCTTTTCAGGGTGCTGATATTTTATGACAATGTGAAGATGATGATGTGCTAAAAGCATGTGTAGTTTCATATCTGCATAAGTAAACAACACAACTATTTCTGTCTGTTATCTGTCTCCCTTGTTGAAGTGTCTCATGTGCAGAGCCAGTTTGTGTCCTGTTCATCATTTTACAGATAAACAAGGTCTTACAAGTTGAAGTGAAAACTTCTCTTGAACTGTTTTTACCGACTACACAAGGAAGTATCCTATTTCCTTATTAGTGAACCCTTTAGGACAAGATGCTCCATGTTTGTCATTTGAGAACAGGATGCTGCTGCTCTTCTGATAAAGACTAAAATAACCACTTTATTCTTTTATTCTTTAAAGAGTTCTACTTTCATCATTTTTGCGCAGGCTGGTCTCGAACTCGTTAATTTAATCTCTAAATAAAAAATAAAAAATTGACGTGGCCCTAATCCTCCGTCGTAGTCAACAGCATTACTAACACTTTATTTGTACATTGAAGGAATAGAATAGAAAAAGGCGTGATCAGTCATAGTCATGGGCGGTTCTATCTATTACCCAACCGCTGCTAACCGTTCAATATTACTTGTGCAATAACTTTGTAATTCACTGCTTTACAATTGTCTTATCTATTTACTCAGTCACTGCACTTTAACCTTAACTGTCTGTTCATTTATTTATTCATTCATTGCACAAAAACTGTGTATTTACTCATCCAGTCACTGCACAATAATAACTGTATATACTCTGTCACTGCACTATAACTTCACTTATTTGCACTATATCTCTATATTTATATTTGTTTAATTAATCAGTCACTGCAAAATAATAACTGTATATATTATTTCAGTCACCACAACTGTCTATTTATTTATTATCATTATCATTCATTCACTGAACAGCAACTGCTCTGGCCACTTTTTGCATATTTCTCTTTCATATCACCACAAATATATTTTTGTTGTTGTTTTTGTAAACGCTGCTGTTTTAGGATTGCTGCTAACGAAGTTTCATTGTGTCTTTGTATACAATGATAATAAAGATTCTATCTATCTATCTATCTATCTAGGCAGGGGTCAACAGGGGCCAGTGCCCTTTGTAACACTGAGCTTGGTCCCCCCCTGTGGCCACCCCTCCTAAAGGAAGAGCCCCCCTCAAAACACATAAACAGTATTTGACTCACAATCTACTGTAATATTAACTGAAACAAATATAAATCATGGTGTTTAATGATGTGCACTATTATCTGGCATAATTTACATGTTAAAGCGATCATCTTTGTCCATTTTTCACCTTGGTTTAATGTTCCCCTCTGACAAAACAACTGGCCCCAGTTTGGCCCCCTCAGTAAAAGTGGTCTAGAACCGCCACTGGTCATAGTGGTGCTTGTTTTTTTACAGCAGCAGCTTCAATGAACTCGTATGCATAACAGCACTTATAAACTTTACTTTTTCTAAACTCTCCAAAGACACGTTGGGGTCTTGTGTTCTATTCGAGGAGGGACCACAGAAAGGTGAGGTTCGCCATATTCTGAATGTTTTTTTTTTTTTTACTAGTGTCAGTTTAATTCCTGGATCTTTATTAAATTGTCAATTTTGTTGGCTGTGCAGGACAAGCAGACAGCGGACCGGAGCTCAAATACATGTGCCACACCGTGAAGAAGCTGATGATGCAACGAGTCTTCCTCACGAGAAGAAGGAGGTTGAAACGAGCGCAGGTCAGTCAGAACAGACACAATCAACAGCAGCCTAAAGCTATTTGATCAGTTTAGTGTAGCTTTAACTTTAATCATGCTGCTAGGCAAATCGTAAGTCTTTCATAATACTGTTAAAAACTTGAAAAGCTTTTCCGCTGTGTCCTATCAGGAGGCGGTGATAGTGGGGACAAGGAGGATGCAACCTGTCTTGTAGAACATTCCAACTAACAAGAAGAGACTGATGAAGATATGGCAAACAAGACTTTGGAAACCAGGTGGAGAGCTGAAATGTAGAGCCTTGTCTTTATATGGATCCCCTATCCAGGTGAAGAGGTAACAGCATTTCTGAGGCTGTTGGAGACATTATGTGAAACTAATCTAATGAATGTTGGATTTGTACACATCATCATTTGTATTAGTTTCAGGATTGCTCTGATAACACAATCATTTCCCTGAACCATGTAATGCATCGTCAATAACCCTTAAAATCATTGAATATAGTATATTGTAGTATGTAGGCTACAGCAAAGTGAAAACAGACTTTTAAAAATCATGATTTGAATTCACACACTTTGGTCCAACTATGAGGGGTTACTGTCATATTTCTAAGATGTCATCATTTTTGTTTCCCTTGGATTATGGAAAATATTTAACTTGACAAATCTGCTTGAGGGGCACAGTGTAGTAGAAATGTGTTCCCCTGAAGGGAATTTTAAATGTGACTTAAATAGGAATACCTGATTTGTGATAACGTGTTTCAGCACTGAAAACGTCTTTATTAAAACATTTATTTAACATGTTTTTTTTTATTCTCTTTTGTTTTGTCTTTTGAGAAATGTCCTTTTTATCAGAACTTATTTACAGTCAAGTCACAAAGTAAAAGAGGTTTGTTTTGTTTTCATTAGGTAAGAAACGTTGCAGGTTTCAAGAACTTTTTATGAATAAACAGCATTTATATCGCAGTTTATCTCGTTTTTATTTACACACTTTAACAATAAAAGTCCACTCAGTCGAAGTTGCCTTACCTGTCGCAATCACTTCGAAAACAGTTTTTTTGTGAATGAACGAATTTTTTGGTGACTTTGAGGACGTGGCGGTTCTCGGCCAATCCAATCATCTATGTCCTCTTGAAGTTGGACCAATCAGCGAGCGACATCGCACTTGCCTTCCCGGCGCCTGATTGGTGAGTTGTAGATCTGGCACAGGAAGTGCATGGGTGTGTTTCCGTGGGGAGGGTCTTACACCACATCGAATAACTTCCCCCCCCGAAGTCACCGGTGAGTTCTCTTCATAATGTATCGGTGTAAATGAATAAATAGAGCTTTTTTAAAAACCTCTTTTAACTGTTTACCACAAAGACGCAGCGTAGGAAACAACAAACGGGGGAGAATTCATCTGAAGTGGACGAGAAAACCTGCAGGTCAGCCAATTAAACTAACGGTATGTTAGCCAGACTGGTGTTACAACCGAAACCTTCAATCTGCATTGAATTGTAACTTTTATTTAGTGGGTTTAGTCACCTACTTTTATCATGTTTTCAATCGTAATGCAAAGTGGATGAAAAGTTTTAATATGTGGAGAGATGAGAAAGTGAGAGCAGAGGTGTCAGACTCAAACAGACCAGTGAATATAGATTAGAAACCAGATTATAATAATAATAATAATAATAATCTGTTGTTTTCACTCTCAGGTGCATTTTTAACACTGCTTTTTTAATAATTTACTATCTGTAAAAAAATAAAAAATAAAAAAATTAGTAGGTGGTGAATGATTTCTAAACACTTTCTGTTTTGTGTCACTGGGATTAGATTGAACTGTATCCTATACTTATCTTAAACAGACTAAACCCAACCAAAACATGATGTAATGAGAGTAGGAAACCCATTGTTGTGTTACCTTAAAGCAGGGTCTTCATAAACATTAAGGTTTGCCATTTGAATTAAGTATTTTTTTGGGGGGCGGGGGGTTTCTGTGCCTTTACTTGAGAGATAGGACAGTGGATAGAGTTAGAAAAAAAATGGGGGAGAGAGTCACAGGCTGGAGTCGAACCCGGGCCACCCGCTTTGAGGACTATAGCCTCCGTACATGGGGCAGGCGCACTAACCACTGCGCCTACATTTGAATGAAGTATAATAGATTTAATATTCACCAATGAAAACATTTTGCCAATTCACCTTTTTGTAGCTGAAGTATTTTCCTGAACTGTGAGTCATACTCATGCATGTGCATAACTGAGTAAGGGGAAAGCTGTGATCTGAAAATTGCCTTGTATACATTTTTTTAAGATTTATTTTTGGGCATTTTTGCCTTTATTTGAGAGCTAGGACAGTGGATAGAGTTAGAGATCAGGGAATGACATGCGGGAAATGAGCCACAGGTCGGATTTGAACAAGGGCCTTGCATGCTTTTCACTATAATGCAATAACCATATATATATATTTTTTTTGGTGTCTTCTTTGTATTCTCTGTCCAGGTAGCGTTGATCAAACGCAAGATGGAGCTGCGTCCACTCGTCATGTGCTTTGCTCTCTGTGTGGTTTATGCCACCAGCAAACCCACAGAGAAGAAGGAACGTGTTCACCACGACGAACCCCTCAGCAACAGAGAGCACGATGACGCAGATAATTTCGACTACGACCATGAAGCCTTTCTGGGTCAAGACGAGGCCAAGACCTTCGACCAGCTGACACCCGAGGAGAGCAAGGAGCGGCTCGGGTAAGATACATGTCAGGGGAGATTATGTGAAGTCATGTGAAGTTTTTTTTCTTTTTGCATTCATATTGGTGATAGAGTTCTTCAGCTGTTGGGATGACCTAGTTTCCCCTCAGGGAGCTTTAAAGTTACTTGATGAGACAGAAGCATGACCTAATAATACGAAGTAACAAGCTCAATGTTGTTAAATGCCAAACTTTGTGTCATTTCTCTCCGCAGCATGCTGGTTGAACGTATAGATGACGATAAGGACGGCTATGTGACGGTCGAGGAGATGAAGAAGTGGATCAAGCACGCTCAGAAGAGGTGGATCTACGATGACGTGGATCGACAGTGGAAAAGTCACGATCTCAATGGGGATAATCTGGTGTCCTGGGAAGAGTACAAGAACGCCACATATGGATACATCCTAGGTATGACTGCTTAATTTCGCTTAAAACGTCATTTTTATATCATCTCTTAAAGAAATCGACGTAAATTCACTTTGCTTTTGCAAGCACACAATCCACAAAAGCCGTGTCGTCCTACTTTCAGACGACCCCGACCCAGACGATGGCTTCAGCTACAGGCAGATGATGGCCCGTGATGAGAGGAGGTTCAAAATGGCAGACCAAGACAAGGACTTAAAAGCCAACAAGGAGGAGTTCACAGCCTTCCTTCACCCCGAGGAGTACGACCACATGAAAGACATCGTCGTGCTGGTAAGTGACAAAACACACACACGGGTGTTAAATCACTAAAACTAAAATGTTCTTCTCATTCTCACTTTCTTGTCTTTTCCTTTCCTTCAACAGGAGACTATGGAAGACATTGACAAGAATGGAGACGGTTTGATAGATTTAAACGAATACATCGGTGAGTTTTAACAACCTGTCATGCATTATCATCATCATCACCAGGACTGAAAGAAAGTGAAGAAGTCGAAAGTGCAAGTCACAATGACTATTGGAAATATTCTGAGGAACCGTTATGTGATAAACTCTTTTTAATGTGTTGTAACATCTTATCTCTTACTCAGCCTGTTCATATTTCTCAATCCCTTAGGTGACATGTACAATCAGGAGGGAGACGCCACAGAACCCGAGTGGGTAAAGACAGAGAGGGAACAGTTTACTGAGTTCAGAGACAAAAACAAAGACGGGAAAATGGACAAGGAGGAAACCAGAGACTGGATCCTGCCCAGTGACTACGACCATGCTGATGCTGAGGCCAAGCATCTGGTCTACGAGTCAGACACAGACCAAGTATGTTGCGTTAATGCTTCAGAATCATTGAATATTTTTGTAAATTTCACTTCCTGCCTCGCTTCACCAAATTACTTCTGGGAAGCAGCACCGTGTGTGTAAGGACAAATGAATAATGTTTGGTAGTGTTTATTTAAACAGTAAGTACACATGAGTCAGTTTGAATTATGTTGCAGGAGGGTTATATAATAATACATTTATGAAAATATTATTACAAAGTTTTTGAGAATATGTTTGCTTTAAAGGTTTGCCTTTACATACCTGCAGACACAACTTAAACAACATTGACTTGCTCTTACTTTTTCCCTGTGGTTCATCAGTAAGTCTGTTGAATACATTGTAAAGGAAGACCTGACCTAATTCCATCTCTACCAAAGCTGCATTGTGTTTAATGTGACATTTTATTGTGAAAAATAAAAACATCCTATTGTCTGCAGCCAGTGGAACAAGTTCAAATCATACAACATACCTAGAGTAAACCAACATGAAGTACACCCATGTGTTGATTTAAAAAATAATAATAATAATACAAACATGTTATTCTTCTTCCCTTTTAGGATGGCCGTCTCACCAAAGCAGAAATTGTGGACAAGTACGACCTGTTCGTGGGCAGCCAGGCTACTGACTTTGGAGAGGCTCTGACTCGACACGACGAGTTCTAACAGCCGCCCGCTCCAAAGACTCTGTGCTCGTCTTGCGAAACACCTTACTGCTTTGACAGTGGATGAAATATTCCAAGCAAGATGAGTCACTTCTAATCCAACGCCACAGACAATAATTTATTTGATATTTTTTGAGCGTGTCCCATTGTACACAAGATAACTCTCAGTAAACGTGAACATGCTCGACCAGTACGCCCTCGTGCTCACGTGTGTAAGAGTGGAACATATTGCCATCCTTTGCTCACACTACTCTTGCCTTTTTATCTGGTAAGGATAAACAGTGTTAAGATTACATTTATTTTCCTCTGAAAGGAGGGTGTTATGAAATAGCCATGTTTTGTTCCAAAACCATAATAGAACAAGTTAAGGCAGTACGCAGATTCATTTATCTCACCATTTCTTTTTGTGATGCACAGGACTGCAAAGAGTAAACCTGATTCCCAAGGCATTAAAATGTCCCCTACTCCAACCCAACCCAAACATTAGTTGCTGATTTAATTGTACTCTGTTGTCTTTTTTAAGAGAAAAAAAAAGTGGTTTTGCTGGATTGTGGAATGTTTGGAATGAGGAGTAAGTATTAAAGTCCAGTGACAATGAAGACTATTCAGACTAGTGCAATACAGTGTCATTTGTGGGACCACACTAATTTGCTTATCCGGTCCAAAAAAAGCGTCCAAGTTACAGTTGAGTTGAAGGAATCGAGATGAATTTAGAGACTGATGGATGCAATATCCTTCTCATCACCCAATAGTGCGTGTCTGTGAACACATCACTTGTTGAGTGGTTTTCTATTTTGGAAGTAATTCTTAAATATTTGTTGGATTTTCCTGAATTTGTCCTGTTTTTTGAGCAGTTTTTCCTTCACTTTTCCTCCTAAATTTGTTATACTTGTTATATCACTTCCACCATTTATAACCACTGTTGATGATTTTTTACAGTATACTGTTATGTATAAGATATTGTTTTTTTACAACAAGGCTCACTGCAGCAACAACCCTTTGACTTGTGACTTTACTGTAAATAAGTTGTTGGTCTGCAAACAGAGCACTCTAACAATCAGCTCCAGTTTTTTTGTGATTGAGAACATCTCAATAAAAAAACAAATACATTGGAACTTTTTAAGTTGTCTGTAGTATTTACACTGCTTTTTATTTATAATAACTCTTTTCAAAAAGACCTTGTTTCTCATTAGAAGTCCATATAATGAGTCTCTTTTTGCCCAAACTTTTGTCCTCTAAAGGAAATGCTCTGTTTCCTGTTTTCCTCCATGCTGATGACCCAGTGAACTCTGGATTGTTGTTTTAGGCCCCTTTACTCTCACCATCTCTTTCAGAAGAAATATTTCCATTCCAAACTGACCAGATTAAAGACATTTACATCTTTTATAAGCACTAAGGTTTAGCACTACATAAAAAATTGATTGACTGCTAAATACTTAGTTTAAAGTTCTAGTTTTGTCTTGCTATCTCATACATATCGCATGTATTTCTCCTCATTAAACCTTTGATAATCTGAACACAAGCCCAAGTATTGGGCAAATGATTTGACAAGAGTCTTTCATTCAACAGTGTTACAGACTATTCCTCTAAATTTAAACTGTGAACAAGGGCACAGAAAAAGTGGGTTACACTTCAGGTGGTGAATAAATAGAATAGAATTTGATTAATTTAACTGACCCATTGAACATGAAGGATTGCAAATAGGACAAGCACATTAACAAGCTGTCCGTGCTGTTCTGTGCTGCACTTTGACAAAGGAGAAGTTTGTCCGTCCAGCAGACCACCGTTTTGTTCCTGTGCAACGTAATGAACATATCATTCTTGTGAAAACTGTCATCTTTTTCAAATCCTAGGCGAGTAGTTTGGTTGCCAAAAATGAACAAAAACAAACTGCAACAGTTTCTTGGTGTTACATCATGCATGGAAGATTCACTCTCTCATCGGCCTCTGGTTGTCAACATATCAGTTTAGTGTTTTCTCCTTTCTTCTTATTCCTCTTTCTCGTTCTCTCACAGACTGTCAAGGTGAACTGTTGTCACTTTAGCATTGAGCAGAACCACCAGGCTAGGTTTTAATCCACTGCTTTGGTTTGATGACTAAAAAAAAAAACTATCATTAGCTTTCAGCTTTACTTTGTTAGCATGCTAACATATGTAGCTTAGTCTACCTCCTAACATCAACATTTTACCAAGTCATTGTGAGCATATTAGCATTTTGACATTCAGATTGTGCTCCAAGCGACTTTACCGCCTTTTGAAACCTGGCCTTTGTTTTAAAGTCAGGAAATTGGAAAGGGAGAGACATCGGGCGATTTACAGACATTTACATGCTGTGAAGGTGCTGTACGTCAGAGTCGAGCCAAGGCCGCCAATAACTGTCTGCTGCTTCTGGAGGTATCTGGGTCAGGCTTGAAAAACATTATTTTCTACCTACAGGTTCTAAGATTTCACAATAAACGTCACTAACAACCTTCTGGTCACATCTCCTAGCAGTTGCTTTTTCAATAGTGGCTTTCATCATGGCCAATAGATTCCCTTTCCCCAGCCCTATTCTATTGGATGTTGATGGAACAGATGGGTGAGATGTTATATTATGTTATGTTAGGGAACCTGATCAAATATTTGGGCGGGGAAAGAGTCCCTGTCTAAAATAATCTCTCAACCCTAACCTGCCCAAACAATTTCAGAAACCCCAATCACATTTAATCCTTACCCTTTTTATTTTATTTTTAACAGAATGTACAAACAGTAATTCTAAACTCCTCTCTTTGTTAATGTAGACCAGTATCACCCTGCCCTGTAACACTGTATCCATTCATAATTTAGCTTTAATAACTAGTCTTAGCTCGTTGTTCAAGTTGGACAGAAATTTTAATTTTCAAAGGAAAAACAGAGGCAGCTTGAAGAGTAGGCATAACAAAATAACAAATGCTGCTGAACACTATATGTGAGAGTTTTGTACATACCTGCAGCTATTAAAGGCTTTATATGCGATTTTTTTTGATCCAGCAGATGTCGCCCTTGAGCACCAGCATGAAACCAAAACAACTCGCGCTGCATTGTTGTGTTAGCATGCTAATGCTAGCGATCTTTGTTATGCTCGTCTCTTCACACTGCATGTAAATTTACCTGAAATGAGCGTGATCTAGAAACACAGTTAAGCAGTGAGTACAGTATGTTATTCTTCTTTTCTCTAGTCCCTCAATTAAACAACCCTTATTCGCGAGGGGAGGAGTCAGCCGGCGTCCGGGCGATGTAAACAAACTGAAGATAGGACACCCATTGTAGACAGTCATGACTCACAGAGTTATTTTCAGAGGATATACTTGATTTATATTATATTTAAGTGTGAAAAATCACATATAAAGCCTTTAAACAAGACAAATCCACATGTAACCTCACAGGGCACTAAACTGCTTCTGATGGATGATCTGTGATTCTTTTTTTTTTCATAGAGAGCAGCAGAGAAACATTTTCCTACAATATGCGATCTCATGTGGATTTACCTTTTAAAAACACAAACACAATGTTGTATTATTCGTAAACATTTGCAGACAATATAAATCATGACTGATCCTTTCAGGTTTGTCTACTTGTACTAGACACAGAATGCGTGTATTGTATCCTTGAAAATATATTCATAATCTACAGAACTTTTTTTTTTAAACAGTGGATTAAATGTCCTGTCCTCTTGCTGAACTATATCTTTTATATTGAAGAACATTAAACCTTATAATGTGTGTTGTTAAATGTTTATGTTACATATACATTATACAGAGTATTAACATAATGTGTGCATGTCTTCTCCTCTGTGGTCCATGTGCTGCATATCTTGTGGACATATGCTGTCCTCTTACTTGTCTCAGAGGTTCCCGCAGTACAGTAGAACCTTGTTGGTGTTTCTTTCTTGACGTGTCCGCCGTCATCCATCTTCACCATACCTCCTCCATCCTGTGCCGTCCACCCCGTCATTCTCAGTGCCTGCGATATCATAGTGACATCACTTACTAAATGTGATAAAAATTGGATTACAGCGAGCCATCACTCTCAGAAGTTCTTCTTCGTCTGACTCTAACTCATCATCATCCTCACCGTCACTGTTCTTGTCCGCATCGTCCTCTCTCGGAATACCGTCGTCCGTCCTCGTCATGAGGCTGACCTGCATGTTTTCAAAGGGCCTTCTGTCCTCAGACGGACTACCGGCGTTTGCAGCTGCGGCGTGGTGTTCTGGTGTGTCCAGTGATGTGCAGGGTTCGCTGACTTCTGTGCTTTGACCCATATTTGTTCGCTCTGGTGACTCTGGGGGCGTATAGAGGGGCGAGCTATCTAAATGTACAAGCTTGGCTTTTACGGGTGCAACCTCTGGGGTGGGTGGGGGGTTGCTTGTTTGCTTAGAGCAGGGCGAGGACGGCAAAGGTGAGTACGGTGGGGTCTTCACACGAGGTTTGCGGATAGGTTTGTCTATTTCTGCGGAAGCAATTCGAGCATGGCTGTAAGGAATGCTGGACTGAGAGGACGGGCTGGTTACAGGTTCAGTGGGGTCGTTGTCATTGGAGGTTGTTTGTGTTGTTTGTGAATCAGAAAAGGTGAAAGGGGGAGTGCTAGTGGCGTCGTGGGTTGCGGAGCTAGGTCTTGTGTTCGGTAGCTCCTCGGTAGGTTCAGGGGATGTATCTGTTGCTGATACAAGGTTTTCTCTGGATGGAGCCGCTTCCCGAGTAAAGAGGATGGGGCTCACACTTGCAATTGCGAGATCAAATATGGGTGAACTGCAGGAGCTTTTGGTTGGGGTACAAACACTATTATTGAAGATCACAGGGCTGTTCGAAGGTTCAATGGGGATGAAGCTGGTGTCCGATGCAACTGGCAGTCGTGTCGAAGCGGCAGGGAGGTCTTGGTGAGTGAAGACGCTGGAGTTATCTGGGAAGCTGAAGGACGGATTGCAGGTCCCTAACTCTTCACTGCTGAAGGGGTCTTCCTCCATTTGCTGCATGGAGCTACGGTGACTCAACTGTAGAGGAACCACAGTCATTGTGTCAACATTTAGCAAAAAAAAACAACCACTCATAACTTGTCCAGAAGAGGCAAGTGGCTTTTTAACAACCAGGAAGTCTAACGTTTAGTCAGTAAGAGTGAGTGGTTTAATACAAATGACAAGGTCTAGCTAACTTGTTTCTTTTAAAGCTTTTGGCCACTTCTTTGTTGGATAGAGCAACATACTTGTCGGGTAGATTGTTTATTTATTTATCGTCACATGGAATAAAATACTTAGAGAACATAGCAAGTGAATCCACTTAAAGGCATGTGAGCAACTCTATTAGCTGTGGAAAACGGCTATTTATAGACGAAAGCTTTTGGAACAGTGCGTAAGTTAGACCTTGTTTTGAGAAAATCTTTAGTAGGACTTGTGGGATCAACACAAGACATTAACTAATAAACTAATAAGTTGAAAATAAATGAATTTGAAATGGAAAATGTAGAATAAAATTAAAGGTTACTAAGTGAAAGGGCACACATACATCTTTCATGGAATGCCAAATAAAATGGTATAACTAGTTAAATAAGGGAGAGGTCGTACATTTTGGACACGGACGAGTTGGCCTACTAGCCTCAACAATGAAGGAACAACTCACCAGTTGGAACCAGCGTAAACTCTGTGGGATGATATGTCGTAAATAATATTCTAAAAAGCTCACCAACAAATCCAGGAAAACACTTTTTTTTTTCTAGATTATAGAGGTTTAAGAACTCACCACGTTGGGGTGTTTTCCCTGAGCAACACAGCCTCTCTCCAGTGGATCCATCTGTCCTTTGTATCTCCTCCTCAGCCATATGACCATATAAAATACGCTTCCAAATACACTCATGAACACCATGCTCAGAAACAATGCTTTACCCACAGTGCACCCTGTCAGCCGCTCATCCACCAGTGCACCATAAGGGACTGTAGTGTAGAAAGAGACACACAGAGGTGTTGTTTCAGTCTGCATGGCTCGTCATTTACCCGTGGTTAATGTAAGTTTGTAAGTTTGTAATGTGAGCGTGTGCTTACTTTGTTGTCCGTCAGATAACACCTTCACCACTACAGTGGCAAAAGTGACATCACCTGATTCCTG